GCAAAAGCCAAGCAGTTTTGGATTTTTGAAAATTTTTGAAAAAAAATCAATGTGTGAAGGAGATTGCCAACTTTTATAGACAAAATACGAAAATGTCCATTCCAGTGACTTTTTGGAGAATTCACAAATACAGGAAAGACGCACTTCTGACTATTTCGTTAACGCTGATTTCGTTGAAGAATAGAGTCAAATTTCTGTATCTCATATAGATGCGTTTCAGTCAAAAACAAATATTAAATGTTAATCTTTTGCCACTTCTGAGAGATTATAGGTCTTTGGGAAATATTGGTTCCAGATCTAGGAAGACCATTCACGAGCAACATCTACCAATAAATTGGAAATGAGCAAATTAGTTTAAGTTGGTAACGAAACCTGATGGTTTTCTTTTATTATTTGTCACAATATCTTGTGGAATTCTTTCGAGTATCTCGCCTATATAAACTGTATCGTTTATTATAGTGTTGTAGGGTATTCAACGGTCGGCCCCGCTCGACTGTAGCCTTTGCTTACTTGTTATTATTATTATTATTATTATTATTATTATTATTATTATTATTATTATTATTATTATTATTGTTATTATATATACCAAGTTTGATAAGAATCGCCAACTTGTTTCGCAAATTATTAGGGTTAAAAGTATTGAAAATTGTGTCCCTTTAAGGGTGAGGTACCAGCAGGAGTGGTTCGATATATTAAATCTTCACACCTCATCTTGTGCGGATAGAAATATTGGGTCGTGTCGAGTTTGAAGCGAGTCGGATGCTCATTTCGCGTTTTATGAGAGATATAAGTATTCACAATGTTGATCCTTTGTGGAGGAGGTACCAGAAGGTATGATCCGACCCGTCTCATCTTCATACTAGATCTTGTGTGAATAAAAATATTAGTATGTGTTAAATTTCGAAAGAATACGATGCTTATTTCACATTTCATGAGCGTTTTGTTATTCAAAATTTTGAACCCTTTCTGGGGGAGGTACTAGAAGGAGTGAACCGATATATCCCATCCACACATCAGATCTTGTGTTAATAAAAATATTGCGATGTGTGAAATTTAGTGAGAATCGGATGCTTATTTCGACAGATATAATTATTCAAAATTTTGATCTTATGTGGGGGAGGTGCCAGAAGGAGTGATGCGACCTATCGCATCTTGATACCAGACTTTTGTTAGAAATATTGACATGTGGGAAATTTCAAGACAATTGGACTCTTATTTCACATTTTATAAGCGTTTATATTAATCACAAAATAACAATCAAAAAAATGTTGACCCCTTATGAGGGAGGTACTAGAAGGATTGTCCATATTCACATTTGACCTAGCACATAAACAAATATTTGGACTCGTAAATCTTGCACAAATTCGAATGATTCTCTTTCTTTCTACGAGGTAAATTATTATTTTTTATGAGTTTGAAGAAACTTGAAGTACTATTGAGTATAATCAGTTCAAAAATTTAACTACACCAAATATTAATGTTTTATCTAACATTTTTAGTTTGAATATTATGGTTAATAGTACTATCAATATTTTTTACTCAAAAATATATTTATATTCTCATATTTTTAGCATTTTTCGCAGCATACTGTTAAAAGAGGTTAAGTTCTACTACCTAGGACATTCCTTGGTATTCTAAAACTTTTTTCCATAATCCTAAGAAAAATGTTTAAATTACGAAAAAATTTGTCACATATCCCCATTTATGGAATCTAATAGTGTTTCAAAATTTCACTTTTAACTTTAAAATACGGCAAAAGCCAAGGTGCCTTTATATGGAAGGTATACCAACGATTGAATATTCTTTTCCCTTTTTATGAAAGTATATATTGTGTTCGGATTCTTAAATGACAAATTACATCAAGATTTGTTGAAAAATGTTGCCAAAATATAGAAAAAAAAAACTCTAATCGGAGGTAGGTTTTTATGGGAGCTTCATCAAAAACTGCTCAATGGTGACAATTTTTGGCACACGAATGTTATATTTTTTTCAATTAAATCAAGCTAAAATTATCATATTAATATTCATTTCGATCGAATTTGTTTTCGCTAGCGAACGAGAAGTTTTGGTCCCTGTTCTTTCTATTTGGAAGAATTTTAAGCATACGTATGGACACATACACCCAGACAATAAAAAATTTCTGCAACTGCAAAATACACGTGTTCAATACATATTGAACACAAACCATCATAAATTTTAACAAATTCGCAGTCACAATTATCTAACTGCAATTTCTTATCAACGTATAAGTACATAGGTCTAAAAACCAAAATATGCCGGAAACTAGTTTGAATTTGAAAAATGGGCTCACATGATATTGATTAATTTCTTATCAGAAAGCTATATTTATTGTGCAATTTCTTTTTTAAAAGACCAATCGAATACATTCCTAAAAAAAGTAAGGAAAAGCCAAAAGTCGGGCGGACAGACTATATGATACCCTACACCACTTTGCATATTTAGTAAAGCTCCCGTAACAAAAGAATTTGTTTAAAGTAGGTCATACCACCTATCGACATTTAGCTTTAGAGCAGTTATAATTTGGTTTCATAGGGGAGGCATATTCAATTCTTAATTGATTTTCCCTAAATTTGAATGAGACATTTTTATCTTTTATATCAAATAACATTGCTACAGGGTGCATGATATCACTTCGAGAATGATGTATTAAAAAATATACATCGGAGCCGAGTTCCGCAAAAAAAACTTACGTCCCGGAATTCGCTTCATTTGGGCTGACATTAGCCATTATTTTTAAAATAAACCTGAAATCGGATTAAGGATATATATGGGAGATATATGTGATATCTCGTACTAAATATCATTCTTGTGGAGTGCATATAACGAATGTGATGACTTAAACACGAAATCGGATAAAACATTATAGCTATAACTAAACCGATTTTCACCAAATTTGATTCTCATGCTTCTAGACTGAATTCGGTCAGATGTGCCAAAATTCAGGTCATTTGAACTGCTATTGGAGCTATATATATTGGAGCTATATCTAAATTTGGGCCTAACAAATATTGTTTGGAAAATTTCATATTGGATAATAAATACGAACTGTATTTTGTTCACAAAAATACACCAATATGTGTGTAGGGTGTACAAATCGCTATTATGTGTCCCTGGATCTCTTAAAAAATCCACGATCCTTAGTCTAAAGTTGCAGTCAAAACATTTTCTTTTCCATCTGTCTGCCTGGCTATCTTGGACAGCACGATAACTCTCGAGGGGAGTATCCGATTTGATTTAAACTTGGTACATTGTAATATTATTGTCAAACTTAGATCGAGTTCGGTCCACTATTTCTGGTACCTATCCCACAAAATGTCAACATTTTCAAAGAAAATTATTAACTGCACAGAATGAGAAAGAATAACCCGATTTTGTTCCAACTTCCAAGATCCTAATATTTGCATGAGAGCTAGGTCTGCTGCGAAAATTACAATATTGGTCCACTTTATCAGGTACCTCCTCCACAAAGAGTCAACATTTTGAATAATTATAACTCAAATAAAATTTGATATAAGAGTCCGATTGTCTCCAACTTACACATATCACAACATTTTTATTTACCTAAGGTCTGATGTGAAGATGGAATATGTCAGTCCATTCCTTGTGGTACTTCCACCACAACGGGTTAAAATTTGTAATATTCATGAAGCTCATAAAACAAGAAATGAACATCCGATTCCTTTCAGACATGACACATCTCAATATTTCCATCAACACAAGATATTTTATAAGTATGGTAGAGATAGAACCATTCCTTCTGGTACCTCCCCCACAAAGGGTCAAAGCTTTGAATATCTATGAATCCATTCGGAATTGGTGCATCTCAATATTTCCATGAGCCCAAGATCTATTATGAATATGGTAGAGATAGGTCCATTTCTTCTGGTACCTCTCCCATACATAGGGTTCAAGATTTTGAAAAAAAAAACGCTCAAAGAAAGCGAAATAAGCATACAACTCTCTTCAAATTTGTATTGTGTCTGTTTTGAATATATATAATCATAATAATAATTTTCAATAATTTTACCTGTCATAACTTGTGAAACAAATCAGCGATTCTTTACAACTTGCTATTCTAAATATTTCTCTCAACAAGAATCCTGAGATGAATATGGGATTTATTATTTCGCATAGAATATAAATATAAATGTTCGATTTTCTTGTCATTTTGCCCAAACCAATACATTTTTCTGTATTACGTGACGTATGAACATGAAATACTTCCGTCGATTATATCTGGTACTCCACGCACATGTTAACATTTTCTAAAAATTATCACATATCTTATATAAAATGAAGGAGGTAACCGATGTAGTCCAAATCCGGCACGTCACAATATTTATATCATATTTATTTAGATCCGATACGAAATGGACAATATGGCCCATTCCTGCAAAACCTACTCCATACAGGGTGATATGAAAAAACTACAACCAACTTCAGACTGCTGTCATTTCTAAGCCACTCGTCCGACAGCTGTTAAATTATACCAGTGACAGCTCATTATATTATTTACAAGCGTACAAAAGCATTTTGGTGAGAATTTTGCAGAAAAAAGTTATTCGTGATGGAATTCAAGCGTGATAGTGTGATTTCTTTATATTTGGCTGGGAAACCACAAGTGACTATCGTTAGAGCACTCCAGCTATATATGTAGGTATATTAATATTCTTGTATCAAATTCTTTGGGTACACTTGTACCCATATATGTTTGCTTGCTTGGGCATGCATACCAATAATTCTAAACAAAAAAGCTAACCATTGCTTAACTCATGCGATTACTAATTTCGCAAATTGTGAAATTGTCTAAAAAATAATAGCCTCTCTTTATGCTCAAAAAAAAAAAACAATACCAAAAAATATTCAAAGAGACCTGGGAGGCTCTTAAATATTATCATACTCTTGCTCATGAGCTCTCTTTGGTCAACAGAATATAAATTTGAAGACAAAACCAATTGAAACCAACAGTCGACCATTTGGGCTCGTTCAAACGTAACGACACGCAAATAAAGTCAATTTCCGCACATATCTACCAAGAAAAAATTGGCAACCATCCAACAGTGGGGAAAACTTTACTATTGGCACAAAAAGAACTTCAGGTTTCACTAACCTACAAATCAAATTCCAAAAGAAAACAGTAACAACACCAATAGCTCAAAATGGCTCAAATGATTCAAATGTCCACAGAGCAATTACAACAACTCATTGATTCGGTGCGTACCTCGGCCACCAGTAGTGCAGCTGCGGCCAGTGCTGCAGCAGCGGCACAAACTTCACTCAAATCCAAAGGCAGTTTCAGTAATTGTCCTTCCCGTTTTGGGGGTCAACGTGACCATGAAGCTGTCGAAGAATTCATTACATCCATTACCACCTACAAAGAAATCGAATGCATTACCGATGAGGATGCCTTAAAAGGTGTTTCATTGCTTTTCTATGGCTTGGCATCGACCTGGTGGCAGGGTGTCCGCAAAGAGGCGAAAACTTGGAACGATGTTCTATCTCTAATACGAGATCATTTCTCACCCACCAAACCTTCGTATCAGATTTATTTGGAAATTTTCGAAAAGAAACAAGATGAAGTGACCGCCATCGATACGTTTGTTTGCCAGAAGAGGGCATTGCTGGCCCAACTTCCCGATGGCCGTCACGATGAAGAGACTGAAATCGATTTGACCTATGGTCTGTTGAATATTAAATATCGCAAACACATTGCCCGCCATGATTTCAAGACATTCCGTGAACTTTTGGAGAAGGGTCGCATTATTGAGCGGAATATGATGGAAGATCTGAATCAAACGGAATTCAGGGGACCCATACGTGGGGTGAGGGGTACGAAACGTTGTACATATTGTAATTTCCGTGGTCACACCAGCGAACAATGTCGTAAACGTCGCAATCCCGATGGTAGACCAAGAGATTCAGCTCCAGCTGTTGGTGCTCATGAAAACTGATGCTGATGATAAATGAAAAGCCCATGTATTTCAAATTTCATTTTTTAGATAAGACCTTTGAAGATAAGAGAGTTTTAGATAGTCTAAGAGTATACCATGCTTAATTTTAATTAAATAACACTAATTGAATAATTACATAATTAAAATTAATATTATTAGCTTTAACTTCTTATATATCCTTAGTCAGGTCATGTATCTTTTAATGCGGCCAAGATTTGCCACATCGCAAGCGGCTGATTTCTCTAAGTTTTTCTTAAACAGCCAACCAATCAATGTCTATGTATTATTTATTTAATTCTTTTAAAAATAAGCTTTAATAACAATTTAAGGCTACATTCGACTTTATTAATGTTTAAATAAATTGCCTTTCTCTTAAGCAATCTCTTAATATTATTTCGCTCAGCTCTGATCTAAAGTAGAGCCAGGCAAAAGCACACGCGTGTCTTCAATGAACGTTATTCTCTTCACACTCACAATCAGAAACATAGAAAAAAGATGTAATCACAGTGTAAACAAGTAAAAAAGCAGAAAGTTCGTCCGGGCCGACTTTGAATGCCCTCCACGATTTTGGAAATTTTCATAAAATAAAAATCCTTAAAAAACTCTGTTAAAACTTTAAAAATACCGAATGTAGCCGTTATATTGGGGTCCATACGACGTGGACCAACATAGGCATTGTTTGCCACAAGCCATTACCATATTCAAATTCGAAACTTGAAATAAATGGTGAATAATGTAGTTAAAATCATGAAAATACGGAATATATGGAGGTACCGTTATATCGGAGCTGTGCGAAGACGTGTACCAGCATAGACAATTTTCTATCACAGGCTGTAGCATCCATTACGAACTTCAAATACGACATCTCAAACAATTTCGGTGGGTATTGTCAAAACACCGAATATAGAGAGGTACTGATGTATGGGGCCTATACGAAGTCCAGGATCTACATAGAAAATTTTTTGTCATAGGCTATAGTTGTATATAGTATGAACTTCAAATACCAAATTTGAAGCAATTCCGGTTAATAATGTCGCTAAAATCATCGAAATATCGAAAATAGGGAGGTACCTTAAAATGGAGACTATACGAACTTAACCTGCCTAATGGAAAAATAAACATGTGTGCTAAATTTTAGCCTTCTATCTCAATTCGTTCGAAAGATAGCGTGATTACAACTGACAGACAGACGGACACCGCTAAATCGACTTAGAATTTTAGCTGAAATACGAAATTTGAATAAAAAAATCCGGTGAATAATGTAGCTAAAATCATTAAAATACCGAATATAAGAAGGTATCGTTATATCGGTGCAATAGACAATTTTTTTCTGTTACAAACTGCGAAATTTCAGGGAATATTGCACCTAAAATCGCCAAAATACCGAATATAGAAAGGAACTGATATATGGGGCCTATACAAAGACCTGAACCTGCATAGACAACTTTTTGTCATAGGCTACCCTTTACGAATTCTAAATACGAAATTTGAAAACAACTTCGCTGAATAAAGTGGCTAAAATTATCAGAATACCGAATATTGGGAGGTACCGTAATGTGGAGACTTTACGAAGACGTGGGCCTGCATATGCAATTTTTTTTCAATAGGCTGTAGTACCCATTACGAATTCTAAATACGAAATTTGAAACAACTCCGGTGGATAATGTCCTTAAAATCGCCAAAATATCGAATATCGGGGGTACCATTGTATGTGGGCTACATGATATCGTGGCCCTATTTAGACATTTCTCTTCCAGGGGGTAAAGTGCTTAGAAAGAAAAAACCAGTATGGATTTATTGACAATTCCATTGAAAAATGTAGCTAAAATCATCAAAATACCATATATATGGAGGTACCGTTATATGGGGGATATACAATATTATGGAAAATCTTCCTGGGGGTCAAACACTCAGAAGGATCTTCTTTGTGGATTTTCAGACAATTTCATTGAAAATTTTGGGTACTATCATCGAAACACCGAATATCGGGAGTATTGTTACCAATATAGCCCAATTTCGATCTTAGCCTGCCTGCAACCAGAAGACTGATCTGTGCAAAATGTTAGCTTCCCATCTTTATTCGATTTGACTCTAGCGTGATTACAACATATGGACGGAATGTTACAGAGTAACAGAGTAAAGTAATTAGCTGACAGACTAACTTAACGATTCATCAACGTCCAGACGAAACAGCTGAAGCTAGAATATTTAAATTTTGGGTGAGGAAATTTTTACTAGAGCGGTACGAAAAGTACTAAATATGGTACTCCTTGTATTTGATAAACCAGTAGAGGTAGAACTTTTACATTTGAAATGAGGTTCACTGATAGTGAATGATGAATATACCAAAGGATTTTTGAAAATTCGTACTATAAGTGTATGAAAAGTACTAAAATATAGCATATTTGGTACCATTTCGTATCATGAAACTTGGAATTGAAAACAAGGTTGAAGTAGTAGATGTTAGGAGGTAGTTTTGGACGTGTTTACTCAGTCAGTTGGAGGAACGGATGGGGATGAATCCTGAAATTAGAAATTAACATCATTGGCGGAGAGTAGGATTGTGATAAGGAGGTTGTTTTCAAAATTTGTACTTATGTACACGAAAAGTACTAAATTGTAATAAATTTGTTACAGTTTATATTTTGGGAGAACCGATAGATTCGGAATTTTGAAATTTAGAAATAAGATTACTATTGCGTTGTAGGGATATGGGATATGTATGTTTTGGAAATTCGTACTTATGTATACTAAATGGTACTAAATTTAGTACAATTTAAAAGTTTGGAGAACTGGAAGAGTTGGAATCCTGAAATTTGGAATAAGATTTCTCATAGATTGTATGCTGTAGGTAGTTACGGGAATTTGAACTTATGTGAATTTAATGGTACTAATTTGATACAATTTGTATTTATGCGAACCCAGGGAGTTGGAATACTGAAATTTGGAAATAAGATTACTGTCGGAGTGTAGGATTGGGATATGAAGGTAGTTTTGGAAATTTGAACTTATCTGTACTAAATGGTACTAAATTTGATGAAATTTGTATTTGGTATATGAAGGAACTAGAATCATGAAATTTGGAATTTCGTACTTAAATGTACTACATGGTACTAAATTTGGTACAATTTATATTTGGGAGAAACCATTGGGGTAGAATCCTGACATTTGGAATCACTGTGGGTGTAGGATTGGGGTATGTAGGTACCTTTGGAAATTCGTTCTTAAGTGTACTAAATGATCCTGAAATTAAAATTTGGACAGAAGTGCTACGAGAGTACAACTGGTAATAAATGGTACAATATTGGTTGTACGGATATGTTAGAAATTTGAATTTTGGGGTTGGGGTTAAAAATAGTGTGAAGTGTTGAGATATGGAAGTGGTTTTGGAAATACTTACCGTATATGCACGAAAGGTACCAAAATTTTAATTCTGGTCCATATTGGTCTATATGGTTAAGATATATACTGGTTACGAAAATGAATACTTAAGTGAACGAAAAGTACCATATGGTATAAAATTGGGTAGCAGGTATAGCAACAATAAAACTACAAGATTTTTTTTTATTTTTAGGAAATGTGTACTTAGTGTGAGAACTGTACTAAATGGTAAAAAATTTGAGACAGTTTGGTTTCTGGTAAACGAATGAAGCTAGAATTTTGAAATCTTGTGTTGGGTTCATGTATGTTGGTTCGTAATAAAGAAGTAGTTTTGAAAATATGTACAGGAAATGTACAAAATAGTACTATATTTAGTATAGATAATACTTGATATCCGAAATTTGGTATTAGGGTCGTTGTTCATGTGTAGCCTAAGCATATGGTGGTGGTTTCAGAAATGCGTCTAATATTTGTACGAAAAGTAGTAAATGGTATTAAATTAAGTTTCGGGTGAAGGGAAAATTTGATATTTAAATTAGTGATGGTATCTGTTTTTGAGATTTGACGGTGGTTTTGGGAATTGCGTCCTATATTTGTACGAAAAGAACTAGTAGTACTAAACTTGGTATTGGGCGAAGAAATAGAGCTGGAATATCGAAATTTGATATTGAGGTCTCTTTTGGTGTCTGGTAGAGGTTTTGCAAATGCATACTATAATTGTTCGAAAAGTACTAAAGCGGGAATTATATTTGTAATTTGAAATCGCTATTTGAAATTCGTTACATTTCAGTTTAAATTCGAATTATAAATGAATAATTTAAATTGCAAATAGAATTTAAACATCAAAAACTAAACAATTCTTTGAAGAAATATTGAAAAAAAAAAATCAATATCTGGAAGTACCGTTGTATGGGGAAGTAACGTATAAGCGTGGATCTATGTAAACTATATTCTGTCACATAAGTACCTACATTTTAACTATTCCTTTAAAAATGCTTAATATCGGAAGGTGCCGTTATATGGAGACTATACGAAAACGTTGTCCGATGTAACTGATCTTGAACATGACCTGTCTACAGACAAAAGGCAATTCTATGCAAAATCTTAGCTTTCTATCATTAATCGTTTGCATGCACACGTTGTGATCTCTTGACTAATTTTTTGATCACGGGAGAAAAAAAGGTTTGACGCTAACCGAGGAATTTGGTGTTCTAAACGAAATTTCCTTAAATTATTACTTTAATCTACCCTAATGCCATGCGCATGGTGTCGTCTCCCAATGGCTGTATTTTAAAAATGTTCAAATATATTTTGCATTGGTATAATCTGGTACCATTTGTCCCAAACAAACAATGGGTGGATTATTTTATGGCTTGAGTTTCCATAGGATAGATTTAATCGATATTTAATCTAGCAAATTCCCAATAGTAAAAACTCCTTGGAGAAAATATTTTAAATTCGCCGATGAATTTTACCTGCAGTTCATATTAACGAGTAGAGGCAATTAAGATTTTATGTTCCACATACATGACACATGTGCTCAGGTAAAAATCGAGTTAATCTATTGATGTTTTCTGCCTAAAACAAAATGTTATGTTACTTTTATGCATCAACCCAAAAAACGATCGCGGAGAAATAGATATACAAAATTAGGGAACATTTCTTTTTTTCTGGGAACAAAAAAAATATGATAATTTTTTAAAAAAGTGTGTAATAGAAGGTTACTTCCACCTCCATTTAGGCTAGTTGGTGATTTTAGCTTTCAAAACTACGATAACTGTGTCTTCTTTTTTTGCTCTGTTTTCATAATTGTTGTAATTATTAAAAATTTTTATTTTATTGCAGTGTTATTAAAGGCTTACCTTCTTCTTTATTATGAAACTAGCAACACTTTGCATTCGTCCCAACATTCGTTAAGCCTTTTTAGTACTCAAAACGCAACAATTTTTATATTCTACAAAATGTTTTAATATACATCGAATTAAATTTTCAGATTTTCTAGCTCTATACATTCACTCAGTGCCAAATTTAGTTACATTTAGTATTTTCCGTACAATTTTAGCACTCATTTGCCATATATCAATCCCAGACACCAACAGTTATTTCACGATTTTAGCTCTATCCCTTCACCCTATGTCAAATGTAGTACTATTTAGTACTTTTCATACAATTATGGCATACATTTCCAAAACCATATATCTCAAATCCAGATACCAACAGAGAGCTCAACATTAAATCTTAGGATTCCAGCCCTATCATTTCGCCTAATACCAAATGTAGTACTTTTCGTACATTATAATACACTTGTTCAAAAAAAGCTCCCTACGAGTAGAGGTTCTAACAGAGATCCCATGATCAAATTTGAAAAATCCAGCCCTATCTCTTTACGGAACAGTGACATCAGTATAAAATTTCAGCCCTATGCCTTAATCCAATATTAAATTTATTACCATTTAGTACTCTTCGTATATTATGGTACACAGTTCCAAAAGAACCTCCATATCTCGACCGCAGACACCAAGAGTAACATCTATATCAATTTTCAGAATTTCAGACCTACCCATTTATTGCCATTTAGTATTTTTCGTACCAATTTAGGACGAATTTCCAAGGGACCGCATCAAATTTCTGAATTTGATTTCTGTCGTCCAATACTAAATGTTGTACCATTCAATACTTTAAATTAAAATACACATTTCCGCAATCATTTCCATATGCTAGACAGGAACAGCGAGCGACCCTAATGCCAAATTGGAGATTTCAAGTACTTTCTGTTCAACCTAAGCCAAATTGTACCAAACGTAATGCTTTTCGTGCACTTGTTGTACACATTTCTAAAACCACCTCAAAAACAAAATTTCGAAATTCACCCTAAACCAAACTTTTCCAAATTAAGTACCATTTTGTACAGTGTCCTCACCAAAACCACCTTCATATATCAAACTTACTTTCCAACCTTCCAAATGGTACCATATAAAGTTTAGTTTTACTAAATTTAGTACATTTTAGTACACATAAGTACAAATTTCCAAACTTAATACATTTCCCAATCCTACACTCCGACAGCAATCTTATCTCCAATTTTCAGGATACCAGCTCTATTGGTTCAGCCAAATCCAAATTGTAACAAATTAAGTACCATTAAGTACAATTAAGTACAATTTTTCATTGCTACCTACATCATACAGTCCAATAGAAATCTAATTTTCAAATTTCAGGATTTCAACGCTACCGGTTAACCCAAATTCCTAAGTCCAAGAATGCAATAGTAATCTAATTTCTAAACTTCTTATTTCATTGTGCCAATTTTAGTTTTATTTAGTACTTTTCGCGCACATAAGAACAAATTTCAAAAAATTCCTCTATCCCAAATGGTTCCAAATGTAGTACATTTAAGTACTTTCCCACACTTATAGTGCCAATTTCCAAAAACCCTTTGATATATCCGTCATACACTCCATCAGTGATCCTCATTCCCAATTGAGGAGTTTTAACTCTACTGCTTCCTCTAAGACATAGTACCCTTATTTAGTACCTTTTAATACTATTCGTACCGTTCTAGTACGAATTTCCAAAAACCTAGGTTTATCTGACCCCTTCGGAGCAAGAGTGACCCTCACCCAAAATTTCAAGATTCCGTACCCTCAATGACATGTTTTCAATTTCCTGTTCCATCTGTTCATCGCAACCCAAATTGTACCATATTTAGTACAATTCTTACACTAAGTACACAATTCCAAAACCACCTTTTTATATTGATTCTACCAAAAACGTCTACTCTCCAACAGTGACCTCAATAACAACTTCACAATTCCAAAATTACCTCCTTAGACAGACTCTACTTTCCCAACATAATTCTAAATATCAAGATTTTAGTTCCATCCGGTCACCTAATAACAAATGGTATCAATTTTGGTGCTCTTTAGTACTTTTAGAGCACTTATGGTATGGTAGCTTTATTGGTTTGATGAATCTAATGGATTAAATTTTTTTGTACCTTTTAGTTCCCTTATTGTCCGAAAACCCCAGCGGGCTCAAGATGTTCACTCCTTCTACAGCGCATTGAGAGGATTGCAGAAAAGTTGTATGTTATTCCTTTGGACTATCCGCCCGTGTGACTTTGTCCATTCTCCATATCCTTGTCTGACATTAGATCCTGATTTTTATTTATTTTTATTTCCACAGCTGTTAGACATAGTTGCATTAGTCATTCGTTATTCGGAATTGTGAAATACAAACGTACGTAGGCCAGAGTTCTGATTCTCTTTACCTATGTATGTACGTATGTATATATTATCATTTGCAAATGCAATAGAAGAGAACTTAATGCCCGTATTTTTTTTTTTTTTTTGTATAGTTGGAAGAGCGAGAAATATATATGAGGTGAACAAATTGTCTGGCTCAAATAGTTTGTAACGAACCATTGGCCATGGGCGATTGGCAACAAAATAAATTAAAAGTTTTCAAATAAATAAGCAGGGTAATTTTTATTGCTATCTTGTGATTTATTGAACAAATTTAATGTCAATATTTAATTTAAAATTTAATAGATAATACCGGAAAAAAATGTCTCAAATGGTGCAAATGACAACGGAACAGTTAGAGCACCTGATAAAATCGCTTCGCGCGTCGTCAGCCACTGAAATTGCCGGTGCTGTTGCCGAACTTGCCAGCCGGCCCAAAGTCGCCGGAAGCTCTATGTGTGATTGCCCCTATCGTTATGGCGGAGAAAGGGATCGGGAAATAGTTGAAGAATTTATTCTCTCCACCCAAACCTACAAAGACATCCAGGCGATAGGGGATGAAGAAGCTCTAAAGGGTTTACCGTTGTTGTTTTACGATTGTGCCAGCACCTGGTGGCAGGGAGTCCGTTATCACATCGCCTCTTGGCAGGATGCATTGGAATCACTGCGTAATCACTTTGCACCACCCCGACCAGCCTATCAAATTTATTTGGAATTTTTTGAAGAGAAACAAGATGATGTGACCAGTTGTGATAGATTTTTAGATAAAAAGCGTGCCATTTTGGCCCAACTTCCACGGGGTCGGCATAACGAAGAGACTGAATTGGATTTGTTGTATGGCCTAATGCATTTAAAGTATCGTAAGCTTATTGCCCGTGATGATTTCGAAACTTTCGATGAATTATTGGAAAAATGCCGCATTGTGGAGTACAATATGCGTGAGGATCCGAAGGAAAAGAAGAAACTCTGTTCGTATTGTAAATTCCATGGTCACACTGTGGAGAATTGCCGTAAATTGGAGAAGGATGAATGTAAGTAGTCAAAAAAAAAAAAAAGAAACAAGTAAAAAGCAGCTAAATTCGGGTCGAACTTTTAATACCCTCCACCATTAGGAAGGAACTTGGAAAATGTTAAGAAAATTTCGTCGAAAAATATCTTTTATATGAAAACCGTTAAAGAATCATCAAAATAACGAATATCGGAAATAATATATAGGAGCGTTTTATGGGGTCTATATGATATGAGACGTGGACCTGCACTGACAATTTTCTGTCTAAGCTGTAGTATCCATTTCGAACTTCAAATATCAATTTTTAAACAATTCTGGTGAAAAATGTCCCTAAAATCATTAAAATACAGAATATCGGGAGGTACCGTTATATGGGGGCTATACGAAGGCGTGGACCTGCACAAACAATTTTCTGTCTTAGGCTGTAGTATCCATTATGAACTTCAAATACCAAATTTGAAACAATTCCGGTGAATAATGTCGCTAAAATCATCCAAATACCGAATATCGGGAGGTACCGTTATATGGGGGCTATACGAAGACGTGGACCACACAATTTTCTGTCTTAGACTGTAGTATCCATTACGAATTTCAAATACCAAATTTGAAACAATTCTGGTGAATAAATTCGCTAAAATCATCAAAATACCGAATATCGGAGGGTTCCGTTATGTGGGGGCTATACGAAGACGTGGCTGTAGGCTGTAGTATCCATTTCGAACTTCAAATACCGAAGTTGAAACAATTCCGGTGAATAATGTGGAGGTACCGTTATATGGGGCCTATATGAAAACATGGACCTACATGGCCCATTTACGAACTTAACATGCCTACTGGAAAAATAAACAGATGTGCGAAATTTTATCCTTCTATGTCTTTGTTAGGTCTGACATGAGTATTTCGAAGAGTATGGTGGAGGGTATAAAAAAAAAGTAAAAAGCAGCTAAGTTCGGGCCGAACTTTTAATACCCTCCACCATTAGGAAGGAACTTGGAAAATGTTAAGAAAATTTCGTCGAAAAATATCTTTTATATGAAAACCGTTATATGAGAAACCATTCCGAAAAATAATATCCCTAGAATCATTAAAAGAACAAATATCCGGAGGTATCGTTATATAGTGGCGTTTTATGGGGGCTATACGATATCGGGAACCGATATAGGCCATCTTCGAACTTGATAGTTCGTTTTAACTTTACCGTCATTTCAACAGACGGGGAAGGGATAAATCGTCTTAGAATTTACGCTGATCAGGTCTAAAATTATTATTTCGATGAGTTATAAACTGAATGACGAACTTTATACACCCTCCATACCATGTATGTTGGAGGGTTGGAAAGTAGGTTTGATATGTGAAGGCAGTTTTGGAAATGTATACTAAAAATGTATTGGGTGAACAGGTAGTACTTGATATCAGAAATTTGGTATTAGGGTCGCTTTTCTAGTGTAGCCTATGCATTTGAAGTTGGTTTCAGTAATTTGTATTATAACTGCACGAAAAGTACTAAATTTGACATTGATTAAAGGTGATTGATTAGAGATAAAATTCCAAAATTTGATTTGAATATTTAGATTACTAATGGTATTTGTGTTTGAGATTTGATGGTGTTTTAGAATTGCGTTCTATATTTCTATGAGAAGTACTAAATGGTTCGAAATTTGGTATTGAGTGAAGGGATAAGGCTGGAATCCACAAATTTGATATTGAGGTCTCTGCTTGTATTTGAAACTTAGTGTTCACGGATAAATGAACATGTTTTTATAATAAAAGAGAATAGCGGGGCTAACTAGCGTAGATGAAGGGATTTGTTAAACAGGGATCTTTTTAATACAGTCCATATTATATAAGATAAGAAAATGTGGTGAACAGACCTTTGAGTTGGAAATAAATAATTCAATTGCTGCATGTGGTATGTTTGAGTTAGATTATGGGATGTAATCTTAACTCATACTGATAAGGAAGTGCAGCATGTTTGCTTGCCACAAGTGAGATAGCTACGCATGTTTTATGACTTCCCCTAGAATTTATGGCGGCATGGTGCACAGGCATGTGTAGATTTGTATCTCTCTCTCTCTCTCTCTCTCTCTCTCTCTCTCTTACACTTTATGCTAGACTAGGTTAAGAAAAATTATCATAAGTAGAACTTAAGAATTATTTTAAATGAATAAAAACAGTGTAGTAACAATAGTAAAACGGTGCATACATTTCTTCCGCGTACACTTAGATATGGAGTTGGTTTTGCATATATCAACTTAAATTGTGAGAAAAGTACTAAATAGCACTAAATTTGGTATTGTGAAGAGATAGAGCTAGAATCCCGAAATTTGATGTTATAGTCCCTGTTGGTATCTGTTGTTGAGATCTGGTGGTGGCTTTGCAAAAGCGTACAATAATTGTTCAAAAAGTACTAGATTGAGTTTCTTTGTAATTCGCAACATTTTAATTGTAATTTGAGAACAATGCTTTCCTAATATCTTGCCTTTTAGAACATTGGTTTCGCCATGATACGAAAAATAATTATAAATTTTGTACAAAGAATGAAGGAAGAATCTTAAAATGTTGCAATTTTTATACCCTACACCACAAGGTGGTCAGGGTATTATGTCTTTGTGCATTTGTTTATAACAGGCAAAAGGAAACGAGATATACCCATAGTTAATTTTGATGATCTGCATAGAATCACATTCTGAGTCGATTTATGAATGTCCGTCCGTCTGTCCATGTATTTTTGTAAACAAAGTACAGTTCGCATTTATTGCCCTATCCAGATGAAATTTTGCACAAATAATTTGTTTGGCCCAAGGACGAACTCTATTGAAATTGGAGATAATCGGTCAAAATTTAGATATAGCTCTTACATATATCTTCGTCCGATTTGCCTTTTATTGTGCACCAAACGTGACCTGAAAATAAGTATTCCAAATTTAATCGAAATCGGTTCAGATATAGCTATAGCTCGCATATATATTGTTCATCCGATTTGTTATTTTTGTCCTCCGCAGCCTTAATATGCACTCTGTAAAAACAATATTTGGGGAAATATATCAAATACAGCTCAGAAATACATTTGCTAAATTTTATCGAGATCGGTAGTATCCATTAGGAACTTCAATTACCAAATTTGAAACAATTCCGGTGAATAAATTCACTAAAATCATCAAAATACCGAATATCGGGAGGTATCGTTATATGGGGGCTATACGAAGACGTGGACCTGCACAGACAATTTTTTGTCTTAGGCTGTAGTATCCATTACAAATTTCAAATACCAAATTTGAAACTATTCCAGTGAATAATGTCGCTAAAATAATCAAAATACCGAATATCGGGAGGTACCGTTATATGGGGGCTATTCCAAAACGTGGACCTACATGGCCCATTTTCAATACCAAAAGTCATGTAGATATAGCATACATTTGAGCAAAATTTTATCAATCTACTTCAATTCGTTCGGAAGCTAGAGTGATTTACACAGACGGACAGACGGACGGACATCGCTAAATCGGCATAGAATTTTATGCTGATCAAGAATATATATACTTTGTGGGCGTATTTCGAGGTGTAACAAACGGAATGACGCTTAATATACCCTCCATACTATGGTGGAGGGTATAAAAATGGATATCATCACACGATTGCGCTCTCCATTTACAGTTAATTAACGATTCACAGCGTCTTTGTGACATCATTAATCGTTCTCTCTCAATCACACGTATTTATAGTTACTATACACTTTGTTTTTTTATGTGTATTGGTTTGTTTGCATGTGTGTGTTTATGAACATATATACATAGATTCATGACGAATGGTTCCATTTTTGTAGATCCTAAATCGTCCTGGATTTGGATTCTCAAAACAACCACGTATAGGTCAGGAGCTATATATACGAGGGAGTAGGAGGTAAGTCAGTTGGTTTAGAATGGAATATAAAGCTCTACAAACTAAATACAAACAAGAGAAAGTTTTTATATTCAAGTCGGTTGTATTGGCACATGAATATTCACGGTTCACAGCGCCCATAAAGCCATATTTGAAACCGTAAGTGTTTATACCCTACAACACTATGTGTTGGGGGTATTATAAGTTTGATTGGGCCAGAATTTATGTAACACCTCGAAATATTGGTTTCCCATATAGGAAAGTATATATGGATCTTCCTAGCTCGCCGAGCTGAGTCGATCTAGCTATGTATGTCCGTCCGTCCGTCTGTCCGTCTGTCCATGTTAATTTGTAATCACTCTACAGGTCGCAATTATGGCCCGATCTTCACGAAATTTAGAACGGAGGTGGGGCTTAGGTCAGAATAGAACCCTATTTCTTTTGGAGATGATCGCATAAAATTTAGGGGTTCAAATGGACCAAATACTGAAAAAATGTCGGATTTTGCAGTAGCTATACAGGTCGCAATTATAGACCAATCGACGCGGAATTTCGCATGTAGCTAGAGTTTAGGGCGGGGAAGAAGCCTACCAATTTGGGTGGTCATCGGATAATATTTAGCGGGTAAAATAGACCATATCTTTTGTGTTGAAAAAATTCAAAATTTTTCATTAACCCGCGAATATTTTAAATACCGGCGAAATCACAAAGCCATGACAAGGTTACTTCTGACCTTTAAATTGATGTTAACATCCAACAAATCGGATATATAGCGAAATATGTGCGATATATATGTCTATCAAAGAAGATATGCTTGAAAGATCTCTTATATGTCGAGAACGGCTGAACTGATTTCGACAGTTCTCATTAATTCAGAATGGCCTCTTGGCAGGAAAGAAAAAACGTCTAAAAAAATCGCATAAAAATATCTCCATGATGATGAAAATATTGATTTTTTAAAATTTTCTCATTTTTTTTCAATTTTGTCATATTTTTGGCATATTTTCATTTTGAATTAAACATTTGGTAATATTTCTACAGCTAAAAAACTAAGTAGTTAAGATATCAGGAATCATATACAGATCGCATTTATGGCCCGATACTTACGAAATTTTGCATGGTGATAAGATGAGGGTCAGAATAGAAGCCTACTCTTTTTGGAGATGATCGCCGTATATTTAGGGGTTGAAATGGACCAAAAAACTGCAAAATTGTCAGCAGTTCGTAATTATCAACCGATCCTCGTGCACATTTGAATGGGGGTTACCGGACATTGCAAAAGCCAGTTTTGGATGGCCATCCAAAATTATTCAATGTGGGAAATAGTTTGCCAACTTTTGTAGACAAAATACGAAAATGTCCATTCCAGTGACTTTTTGGAGAATTCACAAATACAGGAAAGACGCACTCCTGACTATTTCGTTAACGCTGATTTCGTTGAAGAATATAGTCAAATGTCTGTATCTCATATAGATGCGTTTCAGTCAAAAACCAATAATAAATGTTAATCTTTTACCACTTCGAGAGATTATAGGTCTTTGGGAAATATTGGTTCCAGATCTAGGAAGACCATTTAAATTAGTTTAAGTTGCTATTATTCGAAAATTAGAGAACGAAACCTGATGGTTTCCTTTATTATTTGTCACAATATCTTGTGGAATTCTTTCGAGTATCTCGCCTATGTAAACTGTATCGTTTATTATAGTGTTGTAGGGTATTCAACGGTCGGCCCCGCTCGACTGTAGCCTTTGCTTACTTGTTTAAATTTAGTATTTGTTTTTCCCAAAGAATATCAGCCACTGTAGTAGAAAAATGTTCATGTAGGTCTACATTTTAGTACAGCCACATATAAATAGGTTCTCTGGATACTTGATATTTTACAAATTTTACCAATATTTTCATACGAAATATTTAAAATTCGGAGTTTTGATTTCGTAATTTGATCTACTCCGTAGCACTACAATTCCGAGAGCCCCATCACTTCTATATTCGGTATTTCGATAGTTAAAGCCACATTTTTATAGAATTGTTTGACATAACCTTCAAATACTGGTATTTCAACATTAACAGACATATTTTTACAAGAGATACTTTCCAAATGGTGGAGGGTACAAACAGATCGGTACGGTCGAACTTTCCAGCTTTTTTACTTGTTTTGATTCCTTTTTGATGAAATTGATTAATAAATCTTAACGTTTATTCTTCTTTTCTTTTCAGACGATGCTGTGCGATAATTATCAATATCGGAATCACCAATTTGGTTTTAGTTCATTATTACAGTCTATACAATTTTGTTTACACAAAAATATAAACAAGGGATATTATTTTCATAGTTCACTCCAGTGTAACATTATTACAGGTAGTGACATAAGCATCTATTTTGCAAGAAACAAATATGAAGTGTCAACAAAGATGAAAAACACATACAACGAGAAACGACCATTTTTATACCCTACCACAAGTTGGTCAGGGTATTATGTCTTTGTGCATTTGTTTGTAACAGGCAAAAGGAAACGAGGTAGACTCATACTTCCTTTTGATGATCTGCATAGAATCACGTTCTGAGTCGATTTATGCATGTGCGTCCATCCGTCTGTCCATGTATTTTTGTAAACAAAGTACAGTTCGCATTTATTGCCCTATTCCTATCTAGATGAAATTTTGCACAAATCTTTTGTTTGTCCCAAGGACGAACCCTATTGAAATTGGAGATAATCGGTCAAAATTTAGATATAGCTCCCATATATATCTTAGTCCGATTTGCTTTTTATTGTGCACCAAACGTGTAATATCAGCCCGAATAGTATGGAATTTTGCACATACAACCAAATTAGGCCTGAAAATAAGTATGCCAAATTTGATCGAAATCGATTCAAATATAGCTATAGCTCCCATATATATTGTTCATCCGATTTGTTATTTTTGTCCTACGTAGCCGTAATATGCACTCTGTAAAAACAATATTTGGGGAAATATATCAAATACAACTCAGAAATACATTTGCTAAACTCCCACATATAACTTCATCCGATTTACCTTTTATTGTGCACCAAATGGGATAAAATTTGGCACATACGACCGAATTGAGTCTAGAAGCTAGTATATCAAATTTGGTGATGATCGATTCAGATATAGCTATAGCTCCCATATATACTGTTCATCCGATTTGTTATATTTGTTACCCACAGCCGTAAAATGCACCCTCTAACAACGATATTTAGGGAAATATATGAAATACAGCTCAGAAATATCTTTGCCAAATTTTATCGAGATCGGTTCCGATTTGGATATAGCTCCCATATATATCTTTATCCGATTTCAAATTAATTGTGCACCAAATGGGCAATATAAGTCTGACTTTAAAAGATACAAATGCTTCGGCATATTTAGTCCTTTGAACTTTAACTTATAATTATAATCATAGCGTGTATGATTGAATTCTCCCATAAAAACGTTTAATTGTTATGCGGAGCTCTACTAAATTAGGAAAGTGGTGTAGGGTATCATAAAGTCGAAGGTAAAGGGTGAAATACAGCCCTGAGGCTATGTCCGCTTCCAGTCAGAATTATTCAACATTAGAAGCAACAAAGTGTTCTCATTGATTTAAAAAAAATATCCTCATTTTTAAAATGGATTGAAAAGAGTGGAAGTTGAATGAAATGGCTGAATTTTCTTTCAAAAATGATCCAAATTGTTCGATATTTCTATTCCATGGCAAATCTGTTAATATCTCATCATTTGCTCTATTTGCCGGCAAGATTCTATTAGTTTTGCAATTTTTTTCATATCACAAGGGAAAATTCGGTAATCGAAGTAAAAATTTTACATTCTACGAGTTCTGGGAGAGAACAATTTCTTTTGAATAATGTTTGTTTTTATTTTCCAAAACAATAAAAGCAAATACGAAATTGGCAGAAGTCGGACACACTCAGAAGGAAATTGTTAGCAGCTAATAACTTTACCATACCTTTTTGATTGTACAATGATTGAAAGTGCGTTTTATAAGCAATGATTTTGGTTTGTATATATATATTCACATTTGATTTTCCAGGTGACGTTTGTATTATTTTCTACCAACAAATGGGGATGTGTCACTGCAAGTGTATTACACTTGCTGTAACCTGTGTAGTTGTACCACGGGTTCTCTCAAATGTAACTACTATTCAGAACGTAGTAAAACATACAATCTCGAAGGTCTGCAATTTCCATCCATCCGTCTTTATTTTTCAAGAATTCTCAAGGATTGTTTATTAGAATTAAATATTAAAATTAAGAAGGTAAAGTCATTTCAAATAAGCATTCCCATTTCTGCATTTCTTATAATTTACCTTGTCAAATTTCACTGCATAGAAGACAGGTTCCCATCTATGACTTGTGTATGTACAATGACTTTATAAAAAATATTTTGACAATGAGATGTTGTTAAATGAATTAATTTAAAAAAAATGTAACTGCATTATTTTCCCTTCTTGATTCTAACAAAATTAGAATTTTAATATGTTTTTTGGCAAAAGCAAGAATTCGATAAAATATTTATTCTTATTGAAATAAAATTTAACTTATCCAATTTTATTTTATTTATGTTTTTGATGTCGTTTCTCTTGTGTAGAAAAATCAAACTACATTTCTGTCCCAAGACATGCACCAAAATGTAAATAAGGAAGGGCGTGTTTACACACCAAAATGTAGTAAAGCCTTCAGAATTTAAATTTGTTGTTATCGATAACCACTTTATCGAAATGTAGTTTATAGTGTTTAAGCCAGTGTAGTCTCAGTAATATAATACAAACATAAACCCATTGTGATGACAAACATAGCTAGCCAATGTTCTAAATAGATGGCGCTTAAAAATGTTGGATTTGTACCTGTTTTATAATAACGATACCTCCCGATATTCAATATTTTAGCGTCATTATTCACCTGAATTGTTTCTATTTTTGTATTTGAGGCTCGTAATGAGTACCACAAGCTATGATGGAAAATTGTCTATGCAGGATCACGTCTTCGCACAGCCTCCATATAACGGCACCTCCCTTTTTTGATATTTTGGTGATATTAACGAGAGAAGTATAGAGGTATTTTTCGCCGGCTTTTTTTGAAAATTTTCGAGAAAACGTTTTTCTTATACCCTCCACCATAGTACAGGGTTGCCCATATTCGACGGCCCATTCCAATCGACGAGGCTTGTCCGCAGGCAACATTCTTTGCGTCAATTGAATTTTTTACGGGAACAAATGCAAATCAATGCGAATAATCCGTTGTAAAGTGGACCGAGCCATGCCCAACTGCTGAGAACGGCGTTTTTGGGATGTTCTTGGGGACCTCTCATCACTGGCTCGTACGGCAGCGATATTCTCGGCCGATCGCATTGGTCGACTTTTATATGGCCTCTTCGGATTAGAAAGAGCCTTACCAGTCGAAAATTGTTCGTATAAACGCTCAATGGTGTTCTTAGAAGGCGCACTTCTCACATTTTTTAATGTTTTAAAAGCACGTTGAGTTTTCACAATTGACTTCTTCTGTTGAATGTAAATTTCAACTATTTCGCGTGGCGTGTATTGGATCATGTTAAAAATCTGCTTGGACCGACGCTTCAAACGCGGTATGTCATTAAGCGATGTGACATCTCTGTCAAAAGTTATGGCGTTGCCAGATGGGTCCGTCGAATATGGGCAACCCTGTATGGTATATTAAATTTGTCATTCAATTTGTAATACCTTGAAATACACATTTTAGACCCCACAAAGTATATATATTCTTGATCAGCATAAAATTCCCGTCCGTCTGTCCGTCTGGGAAATCACTCTAACTTCCGAAGGAAATGTAGTAGGTTGATAAAATTTTACTTAAATGTGTATTTTGTATGCAGGACTTTTGGTATTGAAAATGGACGTGGACCTAGTCTTCGTATAGCCCCCATATAACGGTACCTCCCGACATTCGGTATTTTGATGATTTTAGCGACATTATTCACCGGAATAGTTTCAAATTTGGTATTTGAAATTCGTAATGGATACTACAGCCTAAGACAGAAAATTGTCAGTGCAGGTCCACGTCTTCGTATTGCCCCCATATAACGGTACCTCCAGATATTTGGTATTTTGGTGATTTTAGCGACGTTTTCACCGGAATTCTTTCAAAATTTGGTATTTGAAGTTCGTAATGGATATTGCTGCCTATGACAAAAAATTGTCTGTGCAGGTAAACGTCTTCGTATAGCCCCCATATAATAGTACCTCCCTATATTCGGTATTTTTATGATTTTTGCTACAATTCACCGAATTTTCTTTTCAAGTTTCGAATTTGAGTATTGTAATGGCTTATGATAAAAGTTGCCTATGCAGGTGCAAGTCGTCATAGATATTAATAGAATTTTTAACGGATTAATTTTTTGAAAATTGCCAAATATGTTCCAAATGGTGGAGGGTATTCAAAGATCGATCCGGCCGAACTTACAGCTCTTTTACTTGTTAAAATTCGTATTCTAAGTTCGGAATCGGTACTACAGCCTATGCAGGACAATGTCTTCGTTTATCCCCTATACAACGGATTTCAAAATGGCGGAGGGTTTTAAAAGTTCGGTCCGGCCTAACTTAGCTGCTGTTTTACTTTTCTTGGATCGTGGATGACAAAAAATTAGGGTTTTGGTCAGGAAAATTGAAATAATGAATAACTGTGCGACTTGAAATTTCTTCATATTCTAATGCATCGACACACATAATTATTTATAACTTTGAAATAACTTTTTCGTTCTATTTTACGAGCTGTTTAACCTATTTTGTTTTATCGTTGCGCTTCATATTTCTACAAAGTAGAAGATCTGAATGAAAACAACGAATGATATATGAAATCATGTTTAAATTTCCAAATTACCACCACCTCCTAATGTGTAGTATTTTGAATCTAGGCATCATCTAAATGTAATTGCATTTTTGTTTAGAATTTTTTCGAAACAATGCTTAGTCCTAATCAAAACATGTTGTGTCAGCTACCTCTGAACTATAAATGTTAAAATAAGAACACATTTTATTCAAAACCAATATTAAAGATCAAAACTTGAAGCAAATCTTTAAAAACAAATGAGAACTGTGGATTCGAAGATGCATTCTTATAGAAATGATCTCAGCAATACCTTCCGAAGCTGATCATGCTATATAAAATAATAACGAATGTTGATCATTTAGCCAAAAAATTACAAATGTTATTCTCTTTTTAGGCATTTATTATTCTGAATTCAGTTTTATACTGAGAAAATTCTCGGAATGTCGCCATACATATTCAATATACCTCGCAATTTATTGAAATCTTACAATTCCGCCTATTCCAAAAATAAACAAT